ATTTAACAACCAATTTAAAACCAACAATTAACAAAGACTATATAATTTGATTTCTGTTGACAAAGACATATATACTGTATACATGAGGGGTATAAAAAGTATAATTTCCAAATGTTCATAAAAACAGTCAATAATTGACTCCTTATCAATCAAACAGTATAAAGTATCAAGCATTATTCTGGTTTAGTTAGTTTAACCATATTTTATTGCTTATTTACATGCAGATATACACACAAAATAGAACAATAAAATAAAAGCAAATGGGTTTGGCAACAAGTTCTAGCAACATTACAATAAACCCTCCCTATTCTGGTACCCTGTTAAAGAACATAGATCAAATTATAAAGTACTTAAAATATAGATCTAAAATATTCAGTATATAAAAAGTCAGTTAAATTTACACTGAAACAGAAATTAAAACTACAATGTCAGTGCTTTCAAATCCACAGATATGTTTAATTTGAATTCTATTTTTATAAATTAAGTAAATTATTTTACAATTTTTAATTGTATACACCAATTTTAACATAACACAAAATGATAATATAAGTATGACAAAGCTACAAGTGTTGTGTGAAATAAGATGTGTTATTAGGATCCTGATCTGGCACTTTGTATTGTCTCATGTGGATTTTACTAAGACAGAATATGAGCTGTTCTAGGAAAATTCATGAGAGCCATATACAAGAAATATAAAAAGATTATCCTATACTATAACTCTTTTATTGAACATAGCCTTATAACTAACCATTAATTGGCATAACGCCAGCAACATCATTCCCCATCACACTCAAGTGAAATACAGCATTTTTTCCGTCAGTTCGCATATGGAAGTTGATACAGGTAGTATACGTAGAAAAATATATAAAGGTATATAATATCAACGGAACATTATGTTGAAGTAGCTTTCTGAGGCTTTCTATTTTGCTTTGACCAGCATCGGAAAATTGATATTGTAAACTTCACATACTGTGAGTAGCAAACTTCATCGTTTTAGAAAGCTATAACAACATAATCTTCCCTTAATTATATACCTTTAAATACTTCAACAAACAGAGATTCCATTAACTGAACTTCAATTAGTTATTTCACAAACAAAAATACATCCTCAGTTGCATTGATTTCTGCTTCTAAATACTTTATAATGCACAGCTTAGGTGGAAACCAATGAAAACAAGAGCCGGTTGAACCAGGTGATGCTCCCCGAATAGGTTTTGGACACAGGAAGGTATACCTCTTGTAGTGTCAGAGTTATGTCACAGACAATGTTCAAAGTGTAAAAATAACCCAAATGTTGTGGACGACACATTGTCTCAATATGGTGATCATTTTTGTGAAATAAAATCCAACTTCAAATAACAAAGTTATGGGCCGGACATGATTTTGCTGCAAGGTCATGCTGTGACCTTGACCTTCAAGGTAGCAACCCAAATGTTGCATGCCACACGTGGATTTAATATGGTGATCATCTCTGTGAAATAGTTGTTAAATCCGACTTCAAATTATGAAGTAATGGACCGGACACGATTTTGCTGCAAGGTCATGCTGTGACCTTGACCTTCAAGGTAGCAACCCAAATGTTGCGCACGACACGTCATCTCAATATGGTGATCATTTCTGTGAAATAGTTTTAAAATCCGACTTCAAATAACAAAGTTATGGGCCGGACACGAATTTGCTGCAAGGTCATGCTGTGACCTTGACCTTCAAGGTAGCGAGCCAAATGTTGCGCGCGACACTTCGTCTCAATATGGTGATCATTTCTGTGAAAAAGTTTTAAAATCCGACTTCAAATAACAAAGTTATGGGCCGGACACGATTTTGCTGCAAGGTCATGCTGTGACCTTGACCTTCAAGGTAGCAACCCAAATGTTACGCGCGACACGTCGTCTTAATATGGTGATCATTTCTGTGAAATATTTTTAAAATCCGACTTCAAATAATGAAATTATGGACCGGACACGATTTTGCTGCAAGGTCATGCTGTGACCTTGACCTTCAAGGTAGCGAGCCAAATGTTGCGCGCGACACGTCGTCTCAATATGGTGATCATTTCTGTGAAATAGTTTTAATATCCAACTTCAAATAACAAAGTTATGGGCCGGACTCGAATTAGGGACGTACGTACGGACGGACTGACGGACGGACGGACGGACAACCCGACGACTATATGCTCCCCCGAAATTTTTCGGGGAGCATAAAAAAATAGTTCAGCACTTCTATATATAGTATAGTATTTCACAAACAAAAATATAGCACTAAAGAATGACAGATGAATACATCAGGCCACGCACTCGGTAGCACCAGTTCCTGTTTCCAAATACAAAAAAATGTACTACGCATTGCACAGCAAAGATGGAGAAAAATAGTTCAGCACTTCCATATATGGTACCATATTTGTCACTAACATATAACAGATTTTCTATAAAATCTTATTAGCATTTCATGATCTGCATGTATTTTAGGGAGAAAATTTATAAGTATATAATAAAACATATTATGTAATAAAACATATTCTCTGTTCAGTGGTGTTTACCAGTCCTATCTAAAGTTACACAACAATTCATGGTTTAATGAAACAAATAGCTGTTGCAGATCTAATTTTGATGAATTTTGTATTAAAAGAACAAATTTTTTAAAAACATATCTATAAAATGATAAAATATGAATTTTTATTTTATCAGTTACTTAAATAAATACATGGAATAGAAACAAAATTTTGATTCACAAGACTAGTATCATTAACTAATAATTATCATCTAAATCACTGATAAAACAAAGATCGATTATTGATATAATAATTTCAATTTTTACAAAAATATGTCGTAGATTTCAAGGAATAAAATGTGTATTAATAAGATTTTTTTACTGTACTTCTCTTATGCAATTTAACTTCATGACCTTTGGTAAAGCTTTATTATATCAACCCAAAACCTGCCCGTGGCAACTGTTTCTACCCATGTGACCAGTACAGAGCACAATAAGCTGGCACAGCTCTTCTGTGCAGACTCAGATCATGGTCTGTACTGTTCCTTATTCAGTCAGTACATATTTTGAAAATTTTCCCAAAAAATGATGAATGGAATTGTCCAGAGTAACAGGTGGACAAGTCCATTTAAGATATTTAGCAGGTTCTAGTTTATATATCACAGCTGCATGGAAGACATTTTGACAATGGAGAACATAAATAAACACCAGAAACATTCACCTGGCAACATTTGTCTTGCACAAGAAGATTGTGCATAAAGAATTTGTCATCCAAGTTATCACAAAAAAAAAAAATATTCCACATAAAAAGGATTTTTTAAAAATATTTTCAAGTTTTTAATATTTTCAAGGCAATATAAATTAGCTAAGATAAATACTGCTGAACCTGCCTTAATCTTCCATCTTAGATAATTCCAAAATATTCTTTAACTGATCAAATTACTGTAAAACACTTATTTTTCGCGAGAACCTTATTTCGCAAATTTGAGGCAAAATGTCCAAAATAATTATTTCGCGTCAACATGAATTCGCGTCTTCCCGAAAAATGTGAAACCGGAAACCCGATGTCATTCGGATATTTTCTGTCCTGTCCGTTCACTAACTTTGCGTCGTTTACTGTGCGACGAATGCATTTATATCTGTATCGATTTTCTGATAGCTTTCTAATCTTCTTGTTAAGTGAAACCGTCTGTCAAAAAATATGTCAATAAATTTTGATAATAATTTGATATGTGTTCACTGATTTAAAGTTTCACTGATTAGCCATTCAAAGGCAAGCAGACAAAAATCAATTAAACGGTACTGTAATTTGCCTAACCTGTAGTAAACGATTATGTTTACCCTCAGGCTTAAACTGTAGTACAATACAATAGGATACTATAAATAGAAATGTTACAAACAACTCGCAGGTGCTAAAGTATTTGTACCAATTAGAAAAACAATTTGTTGAAATACCATTAAAATTTTGTGAGACGCACTAATTTTTTTATACTTAATTCTAGTGCAAGTCACAGTTACCTTCCTTGACACAAGTAATATGCAGCGAAGAAGTTTTTTTCCAATTCCTCAATAATACCAAATTGTTACAGGTAAATGTTTCAAACTAGTAATCTGTACGATATGTATATGCTGCAACACTTGAAAAGCTACATGATGTACATTGTAACTAGAACAGGTTTCGATACTTTCCCGCAGATATAATCCATGTGTACGCATTTTCGGATAGTGTTCATTTTTGGACAAGTGTATAGACAAAGTGAAATATTCGCGAGAAATATGAATTCGCGTCTTAGAAAACTCGCGAATATTAGCGAAAATAAATTTCTCGCGAATAATAAGTGTTTTACAGTAACTGTTCCACTTAAAAAATACCTTAACCTAGTTTTGTTTATGAAATATTTGTTTTCAGAAGTTACAAATTTGACTGGAAGACAAAGCCGACAAACTGCTTTGCAGGAAAATGTCCTAAATGTAATATCTTAAACATACAAGGAAAAAAATTAAATCAAGGAAATTTAATTTCTTACATGCTTCATTATAATAATGTCTTCACATTTAAAAGGTATAAAGCTACATGAATGTCTCAATGAAATATTTTTATAAAATCTAAAAAAAGTAAAATTATGCTGTTTCCATAATCTTATAAATATGGTAGATTCTCAAAATAGTTGTAACATAGAATGTCTCTGTTATTTAACACAGATAAATATTGTACATAAACATAATAAATTATTACAGATAACTATATTGTGCTGCTGTTTTTAGTACGGATTTTACTGTTCACCAATGATTTTGTGCATTTGCCTGTCACTCTCGAGCAAAAACAATTAAAAACAATTAAACATATCACTTTGGTACAGGTAAGTTAGAAAAATTCTTTTTTTTTCTTAAAAATAACACAACCTTTCACAAACTAGATGTAGTGCATATTTATACATAAACAAGTAATATTTGAGTAAAAAAAACAACAACAACATACAAACAAGACTAGTATACCCGACATGAGATTGATACACAATAATATCTTACATATATCACCTAGATATGTAAATCCCATAAAAATTATACAAATAAAATCATATTCTAAAATACATGTATATAATTAAATCCCTCAAAATAACCAATTATAAAATGATTAATTAACAAAACATTAATTCAACAATAATATTTAATACATACAACTTTCTTTGGCAAGGAAAAACTATTTTGAGTTAAATAATACAAAACATTTCTCCCCTATGAATGATATGTATGTATAATGTGCATATTAAATGATAAAATATGATAAACAAGATCAAGAAGGAAAGGCAGCGTTCAATGAACGCAACCCTCACACGGTCCTATGCAGTACATTTGTATTTATAAATCAATAAATGTTAACCCTTAACTTGCTGGAACCAATAGTAATTAGCCTTAGCTCCCAGTATAGAGCCAGGCCAGCTTGCACATCCGTGCAGTCTCACTAGGCTCTATACTGGTGGAAGGTCAATGTTTATATTTTGATATTGAAATCCCTTTAACTTTTTTTGGACTGTTCCAAATTCAAATCTGGATATGTCCATTGAAGAAATATAGCAAATTAAGAGTTAACAATCATTCTGGGAAATCTATAAAGTTTTAACAAATCTGTTAGTTAACATAGTTAGTAAACAGATAGTTCAGCAAAACTCTTTCTGTTGATTTGACAATTTTTAATAAACACGAAAAAATGCCCTTAATTTACAAAAAATTTCAAATTGATATAAAAATGCAATGGCAGTGCAAAACAATTACTGTAAGTTGTCTAAAACATATAAAAAAGGGAGATATTTTACCTTCTCTAACATAACTAAATGTATCTATAGTAACATATATCAAAACACATGAATAATATCTAATTTATATCATTCACTATCACAGAAAAATTAATTTGAAACTTTTTTTTTGGTAGTATGAGTGAACTTTTTTAACCTTCAACAAGGTACAATGAATAATTTTTATAAGAGTCATGTTTTAATTACTTACAGGTTCTCAAACAGAATTATTGGAAAAGCATACTTGACATATGCTTTATTTGTCTGCATTATAATTTTGTAAAAGACTGTAACGATCTTACACTGTCTGCCTGTACAGACCAGAATATCTAGCCCGAGGGTAACTGTTTATGGCGGTAACGAGGCTCTGCCGAGTTTCTGCTTAACAGTTACCTGAGAGCTAGATATTCCCACCTGTGAAGACTGTCGGTGTTTGATTCTTTCCTTGAATATTAAATATTGATTACTTTCAGAAAGAAATTACAAAAATTAATATTTTTATGTAGCACTTTTTTCTTATAGAAGCTTATGAATCTACATCTTCATTCATAACAAATAAAATGATGTCATCCTGTGAACTCCATTCATAAAAGGCGCGTGAGAATGATGTCATTTAAAGCACAGGAGAGGGTGAAAGACAGATTTTTCTAGCACTGGTGTGAACAGTAGATAATCCTGTAAACAAACTTGTTTAAAACAGACTAATATATCTGACTGTAATCAAATCTAGTAAATCTGTTGTACATAATGTGTACATCATGTGTACATAATGTGTACATAATTAGCATATAAAAACTTGGTTAAGTAAAGACATGATGTAATGTATTTTATCATCTTTACAGAACATAGAAATCAAACAGTGTTGGTTTCCAGTAATTTGTTACGAGACTTTTCAAATATACACTGTACAATCAGACAAAACATTATGTCTGTCACATACGTGTATGTAAATGTTGCAGTTGATCTAGAAATTAATGGTCTCCAACAACAGGTACAGGATCTGTTGGTGATCATGGCAACAGACATGAATCATGCAATTATTTACGTCATCAACATAAGTTGCTCTAATATATACTTGTAAGTTGATACACCTGTCCTACTATAAACTAAGATTGACTTAATTATTGTAATATTTGTCATTAAAATCACCATTAATTATTGCACAATAACAACTAAAAGATCATTTAAATTTTAATTTCATATGTTCTAACAATGAGTAAAACCTTAACAAAAAATATCTGAACTATTACATATCTGATTAGATAAAAAAATATAAATGCAATAAAACTACACGTATATAAACCTCAATGTGAGTGACTTAGCTTTAAACTTCATGAACAATTCAAAAGATCATAAATGTATTTTGAAAAATTATCTGGCAAGATCATCAAACCCTTATCCGCCCCCTAACTAACACAAGCTTGCGCGCACACACACACATTCTTTAACTTCTGAGACATTTTTGTAAGGCATATTCAAATTGAGCAACCAAAATCATTAAAATAATTACCAATTATTTGTATATACCAGTAATTATACCAGTAATAAAGCTACCTGTATATAGACAGTGTGTAAAAATAGCAGATATTTTACATGATGTATAACTAAGTTCTGTCATCATAAATTTGTCTTCATCCAATCAAACACATGTTCATACACCAGGAACATTATAGCACCACCTGCAATTAGACACCATCATAAATTATTTAATATTATTTACCTTACTTAAATTAAAACTGCATGCCTCCAGATGAGCCAAAATATTTCAAGAAATCAAACTTGTGTAAAATGTACTAAGAGTTTATGAAAAGTGAAAAGATTCAAGTAATTATTTACAAGTTATGTGTAATTAAAGACTGATTTGCAGTATTTATCACCATATTTCTATTGCGTGACTTATGCAGTATATGAATATTTTGACCTTTTATGGTAATTTGCATGGAATATAAGTGCTACTTGCACTATGTCTTTGTTCACTTCACAATGTTTTATCTATAAATATATAAATACATTTTCAATATTTTCATGAAAATTAGCATGAATCTGGAGGCATGCTGCCTTAAAGCTACATTATCTAATTTATAAATACATGTACAACTCTACTGAAATCATCATGTAAATCAGAAAGCACTACAATTTACAGTTTAGTTGAGAGATTCAAGGAGCTGTGTAACAAGTTAATAAGTTCAGATTTTGAAGGTTTATGAAATTCTAAATTCTGAACTTATCGGAACCAGTTCACTAAAACTTTCTAAAATTAAATAAACTATACAGGAAAGTTACACTACTTTTAGCTTTTACAATTTCAACATGAAGTTTAATTTTACAATCATGTGTAAGCTTTTAATGACAGAGCATTTTATCAATTAAATTGTCATAATAAGCTGACAAACTAATAATAATAATAATAATAAAGACTTTATTTAAAGAGGCAACATAGTTGGGCATGCCCAGTCTTCCCTATGAGCCTCTATGAACTAATGATATTATCTTAAAACAATGAGCAGCAACCAAATGAGCCGTGTCACGACAAAACCAACATAGTGTGTTTGCGACCAGCATGGATCCAGACCAGCCTGCACATCCGCACAGTCTAATCAGGATCCATGCTGTTCGCTATCAGTTTCTCTACTTGTTATAGGGTCTGTAAGCGAACAGCATGGATCCTGATCAGACTGCGCAGATGCGCAGGCTGGTCTGGATCCATGCTGGTCGCAAACCCATTATGTTGATTTTTTCGTGACATGGCTCAAATATTAACCTTCACTTACACTAGAATGATCAAACATTTACAGCTTAAAGGTTTATATCATATAAGTCAATGTAATATTATATAGTATTTGGCCACTCAATGCAAGTTTATATAAAATGACAACAAATACATCATTGTCTTCATCACATCATTATACTATAAGCCAGATAATACAGAAAACAGCTAAATTATTTAGTTTTTTTCCTAATTATCACGTCTACTGACTTAGTGAGTTAATGATGCTTTGATCTTGTTGTTGATTTGTTTTTTTTAAATTCATGAAATACATGTATAAAGAAATACATAATAGTTTTAAGAAAATGAAAAACCTCAATGTCTTGTATTAAACATATTAGTAACAATATTAATATTTATATTATAACCATATTGTACATTAAAAGCTTATACTGGTCTTACCTGGTCCAAGTCGGAGTATTTTTGGCAATAATCCTTTATACAGAGCAAAGAATCTGAAAAAAGAAAAATAAAGTCAATCAAGTAGGTCAGCCTAAATAGTTACAGCCATATAATCATAAGGACAGCGTGCTTGACTATTCTGAGTGCTTGAAAGGAAAACAAGAAGCTGGATAATGCATAATTTTCTTGTAAGTTTGTAAAGTGTAATAATTCTGTCAAAATCCATCTTAGACCTATTGGTCTTATTCAGTGACCTCTTATTATGCTCTCAAAAAAGTGTGTGAAGTTTCAATCTATTCCCTTCAGTAGTTTTGGAAATACTCACTAGCACACAAAAACTTAACCAAAATGTGATGCCAACATTCAGATTAGTATAATAGCACTCCATATTCATCGAATTGTCGAACAAATAATAACAGAAATATTTGGACTTTCTAAATTCTTGCAAGACAGCTTCCTCAAACATACCTTAAAATATAATGTAATAAACACTTGTTACTTCAATAAAGTAAAGTGAATGGTAATCTATAGCAGCTGTACAAATATTTAATGTACAAGTTAAAGTTTTAAGTAAAAACATTAATGAGCCGCGTCACAACAAAACTTACATAGTGCGCTTGCGACCAGCATGGATCCATGCTGTTGGCTATCAGTTTCTCTACTTGTAATAGAGTTGGTAAGCGAACAGCATGGATCCTGATCAGACTGCGCGGTTGCACAGGCTGGTCTTGATCCATGCTGGTCGCAAACGCACTATGATGGTTTTGTTGTGACACATCTAATTTTAGTATTGAATAATTCATTTTTATCTTAATTAATCATGCCAAAATAGTTCAACTTGCGTGCCAAGTATCCAGTATCAATTATATTGTGCAGTAGTAAAAACAGAATAAAGTACAAACATATTACATCATTAACGTCTGGGATTTCTCAAGTCAACAAAGATCAATGGAATTTCCAACAATATAAGTAGTGAAGGTCAGTACTACCAGTACTATATATCAATATGCTATGATTGGATTGTTTCTGCGATACACAGAAAAACTAATGACAGTTTAATATTAGATGACTGTAGACCTACCCTTCCTCCCTGTAAACTGTTGCTATGGTAGCAAAACATGTTCTATATTTGATTTCTCCGGGAACTGGCTGTGGTCCTTGTATACGACTCTTTGCTACATCAAATGGAATGTTTATAACTGAAGATAATGTCCCACTGGCTAGACCAATCAAAAACCTTCTCAATAATTCAAGTTTCTGATCCTGTCAAAATAACAATAAACTATATGACACAAAAATAATAATTTAAAACTTACAAACTTATAAAATACCTCAGTCTATATTACTATAGTAGTTTTTTTTAATACTAATTTTTTGCATGATCCATCTCTAGCCATAGGTCTGTTAATTCTAATCAATCTTCCAATGTTTGACATAGATATCAAGAAAAAACAATAATATTGGAAATTCATCACATACAAGCTGATGTTTATATATTACACTACTATTACATATTTGTTACAACATGTTATATACATGTATATCTTGAAAGATGTCATATGATTTTAGTAGTTCAATATTTAAAACATTTCCAGTACATAAATTCATGTGGAAAAGGAGTACAGAAAGTTTGTTTTGTCCACCTAAACAGCTTTCCTGGATAACTGACTAGTAATTACCAATATCAATTCAAGGGAAAACTACTAATCCCACATAATTTTTGAATTGTTGAGAGACAAATGCCCCTTAGACTGTATGCAAGAGATCACTTGTCAAAGAGAAATTTCACGTTGTCTGAGGAACAAACCAGTGCCCCCTGGATTACAAATGCTCTACCTAATGAGATAATCCGGAGTATAAAAAAAGGAAAACGTACCTCGGCTTCTGGGATAATTCCCTTGATGTTGTGATAAAAGCCAAAGTAGACCATATTAAACACACCATGACGCCCAAATGTGGATGTCATACCTTTTCCGAGACCTTGTGATCCAAACCCATGTTCTCGTAATATTTCACGAGCGGTGGCATATGTGCTCTTTTGCTGTAAATAACAATTATATACATTAGTACAAAGACATCCTTTTTTTTGCAGGGGGAGATAAAAGTTTCTCTAATTTTTTAGTAAACAAATTTGCAGTAAAAGTTGACGGTTTCAATTTAAAACAATTAAATACATTGAAGTTGAAATATGGACTAAAACTATCCCTGAGATATCACAAAATAATTCACTACAGTGTAAGATATAATATTTCACTGTGTAAAAATACCTAAGCTATCACATATTTCACTGTGTAAATATACTGTGATATCACAATATTTCACAGTGCCAGTATACCTGAGATATTACAATATTTCGCTGTGTAAGATATAATAGTTCACTGTGTAAATATACCCAAGATATCACAATATTTCACTGTGTAAGATACAATATTTTATTTTGTAAAAATACCTGATATATCAAATATTTCACAGTTTAAGATACAATAAATACCTGAGCTATCACAACATTTCTCTCTGCTTGTAGCTTTACTTTAACAACTTCAAATGGATTTATAACTACAGCTTCTGTTAATCCAGAACAGAGTCCCGCCAATGCAAATATCTGAATAAAATATATCAAAAAACATGTTTAATCAGTTATATAACTCAAAAGTTAATCTGTCTAAAGAAACTTATGTGTACCTGGATCTGGCTCAAGTTGTTATCATATTTCAACATTGGGCAATGCAGATTTATAATATATCATGCATGAAAATAAAATAATATTCCAGTCTTTATTAATCAGTTAATTATTTACTTATTATATCTACCATAGATTGAGGTAAATATCTACAATATCATAACTTCCATAGAATGAGGAAAGTATCTACAATATTATACCTACCATAGAATGAGGAAAGTATCTACAATAACATACCTACCATAGATTGAGGAAAGTATCTACGATATTATAACTACCATAGAATGAGGAAAGTCTCTACATTATTATAACTACCATAGATTGGGGAAAGTATCTACAATATTATAACAACCATAGAATGAGGAAAGTATCTACAATATTATAACTACCATAGAATGAGGAAAGTATCTACAATATCATACCTACCATTGATTGAGGAAAGTATCTACCCAATTATAACTACCATAGAACGAGGAAAGTATCTACAATATTATAACTACCATAGATTGGAGTAAGTATCTAAAATATTATAACAACCATAGAATGAGGAAAGTATCTACAATATTATAACTACCATAGAATGAGGAAAGTATCTACAATATCATAACTTCCATAGATTGGGGAAAGTATCTACAATATCATAACTACCATAGAATGAGGAAAGTATCTACAATATCATAACAACCATAGAATGAGGAAAGTATCTACAATATCATAACTACCATAGAATGAGGAAAGTATCTACAATATCATACCTACCATAGATTGAGGAAAGTATCTACAATATTATAACTACCATAGAATGAGGAAAGTATCTACAATATCATACCTACCATTGATTGAGGAAAGTATCTACGATATAACTACCATAGAATGAGGAAAGTATCTACAATATTATAACTACCATAGATTGGGAAAGTATCTACAATATTATAACAACCATAGAATGAGGAAAGTATCTACAATATTATAACTACCATAGAATGAGGAAAGTATCTACAATATTATAACTACCATAGAATGAGGAAAGTATCTACAATATCATACCTACCATAGATTGAGGAAAGTATCTACAATATTATAACTACCATAGAATGAAGAAAGTATCTACAATATCATACCTACCATTTATTGAGGTAAATATCTACAATATCATAACTACCATAGAATGAGGAAATTATCTACAATATCATACCTACCATAGATTGAGGAAAGTATCTACAATATAATTACTATCATAGAATGAGGAAAGTATCTACAATATCATACCTACCATAGATTGAGGAAAGTTACTACAATGTTATAACTACCATAGATTGAGGAAAGTATCTACAATATTATAACTACCATAGAATGAGGAAAGTATCTACAATATCATACCTACCATTGATTGAGGTAAATATCTACAATATAATAGCTACCATAGAATGAGGTATGTATCTACAATATTATAACTACCATAGAATAAGGAAAGTATCTACACTATAATAACTACCATAGAATGAGTTAAGTATCTACAATATTATACCTGGCTACCATAGATTGGGGTGAGTATCTTCAATATTATAACTACCATAGATTGAGGAAAGTATCTATAATATTATAACTACCATAGATTAAGGAAAGTATCTACAATTTTATAACTACCATAGAATGAGGAAAGTATCTACAATATCATACCTACCATTGATTGAGGAAAGTATCTACGATATTATAACTACCATAGAATGAGGAAAGTATCTACAATATCATAACTACCATTGATTGAGGAAAGTATCTACGATATCATAACTAACATAGAATGAGGAAAGTATCGACAATATTATAACTACCATAGATTGAGGAAAGAATCTATAACATTATAACTACCATAGAATGAGGAAAGTATCTACAATATCATACCTACCATTGATTGAGGTAAATATCTACAATATCATAACTACCATAGAATGAGGTAAGTATCTACAATAGCATACCTACCATTGATTGAGGAAAGTATCTACAATATCATACCTGCCATAGATTGAGGAAAGTATCTACAATATCATAACTACCATAGAATAAGGAAAGTATCTACAATATTATAACTACCATAGAATGAGGAAAGTATCATCTACAATATCATACCTACCATAGATTGAGGAAAGTATGTACAATATCATAAATACCATAGATTGAGGAAAGTATCTACAATATCATACTTACCATGGATTGAGGTAAATATGTTCAATATTATAACAACCATAGAATGAGAAAAGTATCTACAATATTATAACTACCATAGAATGAGGAAAGTATCTACAATATCATACCTACCATTGATTGAGGTAAATATCTACAATATCATAACTACCATAGAATGAGGAAATTATCTACAATATCATACCTACCATAGAATGAGGAAAGTATCTACAATATCATACTAACCATAGATTGAGGTAAATATCTACAATATTATAACAACCATAGAATGAGGAAAGTATCTACAATATTATAACTACCATATAATTAGGAAAGTATCTATAATATCATACCTACCATAGAATGAGGAAAGTATCTACAATATTATAACTACCATAGAATGAGGAAAGTATCTACAATATCATACCTACCATTGATTGAGGTAAATATCTACAATATCATAACTACCATAGAATGAGGAAATTATCCTCAAAACATACCTACCATAAACTGGGGTAAGTATCTACAATATAATACTTTAGTCCTACCATAGATTGAAGAAAGTATTTACAATAGTATACCTACCATAGATTGAGGTAAGAATCTACAATATTTTACCTATGCTAGATTAAGGAAAGTATTTACATTATTACACCTTAGTCCTACCATAGATTGAGTTAAGTATCTTCACCATTATGCCTACCATAGATTGAGGTAAGTATCTACAATATTTACTTTCCAAAGATTGAGGTAAGTATCTACAATATTTACTTTCCAAAGATTGAGGTAAGTATCTACAATATTTACTATCCAAAGATTGAGGTAAGTATCTACAATATTATACCTACCATAGATTGAGGTAAATATCCTCCATATGCAAATAAATGTTTGTAACGTTCAAATGTGAAGAATTTTACAGCTCTTTTTGGTGTCTCAGCTAACAATGGAGGTAATATTCCTTTGTAAAATGACAGAGGTCTAAAAATGAATTAATAATTCTTTTTATTTCCATGATTTAAAATTTAGAGAAAACTAAAATATTTGGAAGAGCAAAACAAGATGTTAAATAGCAGAAGGCATATACAAGTTATGTTATGGCACATGTATTGTATGAGACTAATTTTAATACAAATGAAACTTCATTGAAGAACATATAGAGTTACTTCAGGAATATTAATTAGATATTTCATTTAAGAAGTGGTTATTCAGAAAAATAAATATTTGATTTAATGAATGCTACTTCAGGAATATATAAACTATATACTTCATTGAAGATCAGTAAATTAAGAAAAATTAATTAGATATTTTATTGATGGAATATTAACTATATATTTCAGGAATGTTACTTCAGGAATATTAACTTTCTACACTTGAACATTCTTACCCTTCAGTTCTGTACATTTTCTTGAAACAATCAGCCAGAGATGTGTATCTATTTGGATCCTCTGGTCCCCTCTGTATTTGAAATCTTGTTTTCACCAAATCCAAAGGATGCATTATTGACACTTCCACAAAACCTATCTCAGAAATACAAACATGTATTTAAATTACCTATATAACACCACTTTCATAGTTCATAACTATATCCTATAAATATATCCTATAAATATTTTGGAGACTGCATTAGTAACCTGCCTTAACATTCACCCTAAATAGAAGATAATGTAACAAGAGCTGTCGGTAGGACAGCAACGCTCGACTATTCTTAGTGCTTGATAGTAAAAAAAGCCTTGATTAAAAGGTAAAATTTTCTCAGTAAAGAAAAAGGCAAATTTTTTTCTTTAAATCCATATTACAGTTATAGGCCTTGGACAGAGTCCTATTATGCTCTCAAAGAAGAGTATAAAATTTCAACATGTTTCAAAGCCTTATGTCAATGAACTTTGAAAATATTTGAGGCATAACAAAAACTTTAACGTAAATTCTAAGTCAAAAAAGGGGCATAATTCTGTCAAAATGCTTGATAGAGTTACCTCCTCCTGTCTACAAGATGGGGTCATGATGGTGAACAAGTGTGCAAAGTTTCAAAGCCATATGTCAATGGACTTTGAAAATATTTGAGGTATTACAAAAACTTTAACGTAAATTCTAAGTCGAAAAAGGGGCATAATTCTGTCAAAATGCTTGATAGAGTTACCTCCTCCTGTCTACAGGTTGGGGTCATGATGGTGAACAAGTGTGCAAAGTTTCAAAGCCATATGTCAATGGACTTTGAAAATATTTGAGGTATTACAAAAACTTTAACGTAAATTCTAAGTCAAAAAAGGGGCATAATTCTGTCAAAATGCTTGATAGAGTTACCTCCTCCTGTCTACAGGTTGGGGTTATGATGGTGAACAAGTGTGCAAAGTTTCAAAGCCATATGTCAATGGACTTTGAAAATATTTGAGGTATTACAAAAACTTTAACGTAAATTCTAAGTCGAAAAAGGGGCATAATTCTGTCAAAATGCTTGATACAGTTACCTCCTCCTGTCTACAGGTTGGGGTCATGATGGTGAACAAGTGTGCAAAGTTTCAAAGCCATATGTCAATGGACTTTGAAAATATTTGAGGTATTACAAAAACTTTAACATAAGTGGTTACGCCGACGCAGACGCCGACGCTCGGGTGACTACAATAGCTCTACTTATTCTTATCGAATAGTCGAGCTAAAAAAGTGAGAAAAAAATATTGTCTATAAAAATAGGATTGGATTTATGATTATTCAAAATAAAATTTGACAGGTTTATGAAAATGATCATTTATTTAAATATGAAAGAAACTAATTGAGATATATTATCTTATAATCATTTATCAAACATTTTCTGTTTAATGATTAGTACCGTGGTACCATATAACAACGGGCATTTCTCAAAGGACAGGTTTCTGACATTATTTTTTTTTGATACAGTACAAATTGTAAATTCGTTTTCTTTAATCAAAACTTGTTTACCTGCGCAGCCACCAGCTACAAATTGCATGGCAGCAAGGTGGTGCAAAGCCCAATCCTTCTCAATAACTGTCATTTTGTACTTAACTTTAAAAAGTGCCTTTAGAATTTATTTGTAAATCAATGTCAACAAACGTGTCATTGCATACTTCATGGAGTGAGGCTAAAAAAAGGATTGGAGCACCACACTAAATACCGTATTCCGGTATATACCGAGCAAGGCGCTTGAATCATAAAATGCTAAAATCTTGCCTTTTTACCCAACGGAATGAACTGAAATAGGTATAATTCATCTTTTCACACCGATTTATGTATGATAATGAATGAAAAATGTAAAAATCGGCGAAAAAAACGATATTTGTCTATTTTGTGATCATGATTTCTGCAAGCGTCTAGAGGTACTGCTCCAATCCTGTATTGAGCTAAATCCTACTTCATGTACATAATCACGTGACTTTCGCTTAGGGATAAGTTCGTATTCATATTAATTTTATATTTTTGGTATGAAATAGAATTCTTTTTATAAAATCCTAATAAAAGCAATCAATAAATCTGATTCTTCAAAAAGATTATAAAAGGTCCCACAAAAGCGCAATAAAATAAAATTAGAGTATAATACATAATTACTTATCCTATCCGGTGTTGGGGTAGTTTAGTCCCGCGCACAAGGTCGTGTTTAACTTGCAAGATTTTGATAATTTTTTTAACCTTTGTAAGTAATTAAAGAATATAAACCATCTCCGATTTTATCTAACAGTTACTTTTTATTTTATAACAATGTTCATTTCGTATGGGTTTCTTTAGTGTATTATATACAAGTTTAACTTTTGAAATGGCCCATGATCTGATGATTGGGGTCTTATCCTGAAGATAGCCTGCACAGTTGAACGGCACTTCTCACTTCCCCTCTGAGCGTGCTCATCGCTGAGATGGCACAGTGCATTGGCAGAAGATTTGAAGACTTGAGATGGCGCCAAAGATCAGAACTTGTACTGCGGACCAGCTGACTCTGACTTATGCCGAGGGGAGTTGCCCAACAAAGTAGTCTCTGAGTCGACGAGGATGGTGTACAAGGGTGTGTGAGCCCCTAGCATGGATAAACGGCTTAAACGGCATCCCAGTGTCCTCAGGTGTCCCACAAAGCTCTGGTGTAGGACACTTCCTATTTCTCGCCTAGATAATAAAAAATGACCTCCCACAAAATGCATGGTTCAATGGGTTTAACATGTGTTTAATAGAGGGCTAGACATGTATTATCAATATTGTGGGTTTGATTCCTGGTCTGGCCAACTAAAATTACTAATCAGTCTTTCGGATGAGACTTTTAATCAGGTCCCCAGTATGAGTGCTGAAACACTTGCCATTTTAAAGAACCAGGGGAAGCTTCTTGAATTGGCGCATCTTTCTGTATCTGAATCTTGCACTATCCTCCAAAATATAAAATGATTAATACTCTTTTGGAGGACTCGCCAATATGTGCAACCAGTGGCGAGTATAACTAAACTCAAAACACACACAGCAAATTCCCAGGTCCGCTTGTTTTCAGACAAAACTGCAATATACATTGTCTGATTAGAGCTGTCAGAGATAGAGACGATATCGATGTATCGTTGATATTTTTCTGTTGATTAATAATTGATACACATCTTAAAAAAAACAAAAATTTTTATTAATTATTTTAATGTCTATAAATTATAAAAATTCGCAAAAGCAGGTGGCCATGTCTGACACTAAGCTGGGTCTTTCATCAAAAGAGGGGTGAAGTGTCTGAGGGGTGAATTGTCTGTAAATCCTTTGTTGTAGCTCCCAAAACTTTATAGTCTGCTTTTTAACATTTTTAGCTCACCTGAGGACAATGTCCTCAAGGTGAGCTTTTGTTATGGCCCATTGTCCATCGTTCGTCTGTCCAATGTCCATGCATCAAAAATTTATTTAAAAAACTTCTCCTTCTAAACCACTTGGCCAAATTTGTTGAAACTTTGCAGGGCTGTCCCTAGCATGAAGCTCTACCAAAGTTGTTTAAAGTATTAAATTCCATAAAGAACTCTGGTTGCCATGACAACCAAAAGATTTTTTACAAAATATCTTTAAGAATCTCCTTGTAAAAAAAGCTAAAGAGCTAAAGATTAGATATTTGGCATGAAACATCTTCTAGTTTGTTCAAATAAATGTCCTAAGGTCAAAATTGGCTCAGCCCCAGGGGATTGATTTTCCTTATATGTATAGAGTGAAAACTAAACAAAATCTTCTTGTGAAAATCCAAAGAGGTAGAGCTTAGATATTTGGCATGTCACATCTCCACCAGTAAAGCTGGAACGTCACCAAATGACCTATACTGTGTCGGTGTGACGTAAAACCCAAAACAAACAAATATATATATATTTATAATAAAAACTTAAAAAATCTTGTGAAAATCGAAAGAGTTAGAGCTTAGATATTCGGCAAAAAACATCTAAGTTCTTGTGTATGTCTACCATGATTATTCAAATGAAAGCCCTAGGTTCAAACTGGCCCGGCCCCAGGGGTCATTGATTTGCCTTATATGTATATAGTAAAAAATTAAAAAATCTTCTTGTGAAAATCGAAAAAAGAGGTAGAGCTTAGATATTTTGCATGAAACATGTTCTAGTGTATGTCTACCATGTTTGTTGAAATAAAACCCCTAGGGTCAAAATGTATGTACTGTAAATCTGGTATTTTTTGCCATGTTTTAATTTTCACTATTTCTTCTGACGTGAAAAGGGGCTCCACCTTGACCTATTTCTCAAGTGAGCGATCCAGGGCCCTATGGACCCTCTTGTTTATTTTCATCTGATGCGGCATTAAATCACATTATGTCATAGTATAAAAATGTAAAATTCGTAAAAGCTACCCATTTCAAAAACACACAAAAACGTTAAACTGCAAGATGTTATTCTAAACAGGGTCTTTCAAATGATTTAAAAACAGGTTTAATATAAAGTTAGAAATCTTGCTGCTTATCATGATGTTATTTGGAGCTAACTGTAACAAAAGTTGGGCAAGTTGTTACAGAGCAAATCATTATATCTCCATGTACCTGAACACAAACTGTGTAGTTTAATTTGACTGAGTCAATACTAAATATAGAAATATTGAATGTATTCCTTGGTTTTAACACCTACTTTATGACTATTAAGTATGCAACAATGCACCAACAATTAAACTGAAGGCTATTGCCACATACAGTTCCCAGACATTATAAAGACAACCTCTGAAAGGGAAATATAATTATTATATTTATATGCTAATTATGCTTACATGTAACCATGGTGCCAGGAATGATGATAATTGGAAATCTCTATAAACAAATGACACATTAAAACATGAACAATTAAACATCCATACGAGGCTGCAATTTTATGTGATTTTTGTTGTCTTCCATCTTTCAATCTCTGTAATTCCTAAAATATGAACATCATATTTGATATTGTCCAAGATATAATTTGATCACTTTTCAACCCCCCAAAAAAATATGTTCAGACAAAATGAAAAGTTCAAATTTTGTTTTCAAAATTGTCTTCTTCAATTTCGTTCAAAAAGTTTCTTTCTTTCCTTCCTTCTTTTCTTTTTTCACATCAGCATAAAAATCACAATCTGTATCATTTTCAACAATAAATTTCCTATTTATCATTAAATCATTTTTTCATTGATAACAGTTTTACCCTCTTGTAAATTTGCATCTGGGCACATACATGTATACCCCCACATCAATAGAACTATTGTTAGTTATATTTTAAAAGTTAACTTCATACTGTTATTTTTTTCCAGAACTATGGCCATGTCTTTGTTACAAAGGATTTGTGCCCCAGTTACAAGACAGTTCACACAGCTACCAATCAGAACATTTTGTAAGTTGATAGTTTAATTGTTTGCATTTATGTTTTATGCTATTTCCCATTTTGCCTTTTTTTAACATTTGAAACAAAAGACTTTATTTGGTTATGTTTGAATATTATAATATTAAATGTGACCTTACATGTAATTCAGCTAATGTAGTGAAAACAAAACAAGGATTTATGTTATTTCTCTAACATTAATTATGTCAGGCAGTTCTTACCATTCCAAAATTATTTAGTTAGCAAAATTCCAGAGATTTTTTCCACTGGGGGTAAAAACCTTAATAATAATAAACAAAATCGAGGAATATTATCCATGTAAAGGGTTATATATGTATGTACTGATCTATAATAAAATAAAGTTAGCAAAATTCTAGAGATTTTTTCCACTGGGGGTAAAAACCTTAATAATAATAAACTAAACCGAGGAATATTATCCATGTAAAGGGTTATATATGTATGTACTGATCTATAATAAAATATCCTACTATCATTTATGTAATGCACTTTATTACAATACAATATTAATAAGAAAAGTTGATTTCATTTTCTTATGATATTGATAAGCAACAAATTACTATGTAAAGTCTTGTATAATAAGCTTACGCCAGTTTTCCAATCTAGAAATACATTTGACATGATATACACTGTTAATTATTTATTCAATGGTACTGCTAAATGGTAGCTAAAGCCTAAACAGTTGTGTTGAAAATATTATCTTTGCTTCAAATTTTGAATATGCAACAATGAGATAATACAACAGTTTTCATTCAGCACCTGCATAGTACAAAAGTTTATGCCCAGATGGTCATATAATGTTATATCCCTGGTCATATTTCATGATAAGAAGGGGCAATGGTCTTCTTACTGGATAAGGGGAAGTGGCCTTCAAACTGGATAAGGGACAATGTCTTCTAACTGAATAAGGGCAAAGGTCTTCTATCTGGATAAGGGATAATGGTCTTGATAACTGGGTAAGGGGCAATGGTCTTCTAACTGGATAAGGGGCAATGGTCTTCTTAATGGGATAAGGGATAATGGTCTTCTGTTGATGGTCTTCTAACTGGATAAGGGCAATGGTCTTCTAACTGGATAAGGGGCAATGGTCTTTTATCTTGATGAGGGGCAATGGTCTTCTATCTGGATAAGGGATTATGGTCTTCTAACTGGATAAGGGGCAATGGTCTTCTATCTTGATGAGGGGCAATGGTCTTCTATCTGGATAAGGGATAATGGTCTTCTAACTGGATAGGGGACAATGGTCTTCTAACTGGTTAAGGGACAATGGTCTTCTAACTAGATAAGGGGCAATGATCTTCTAATGGGATAAGGGACAATGGTCTTCTATCTGGATAAGGGATAATGGTCTTCTATCTGGACAATGGGCAATGGTCTTGTAATGGGATAAGGGGCAATGGTCTTCTAAATAGATAAGGGAAATGGTCTTCTAACTGGATAAGGGGCAATGTTCTTCTAACTGGATAAGGGGCAATGGTCTTCTATCTTGGTGAGGGGCAATGATCTTCTTTCTTGATAAGGGATAATGGTCTTCTAACTGGATAAGGGACAATGGTCTTCTAACTAGTTAAGGGACAATGGTCTTCTAACTGGATAAGGGGCAATGTTCTTCTAATGGGATAAGGGACAATGGTCTTCTATCTGGATAAGGGATAATGGTCTTCTATATGGACAATGGGCAATGGTCTTCTAATGGGATAAGGGGCAATGGTCTTCTAAATAGATAAGGGCAATGGTCTTCTAACTGGATATGGGGCAATGGTCTTCTATCTTGATAAGGGACAATGGCCTTCTAACGGGATAAGGGGCAATGGTCTTCTAATGGGATAAGGGGCAATTGTCTTCTTATGGGATAAGGGGCAATGGTCTTCTGACTGGATAAGGGGCAATGGTCTTCTAACTTTTACAAATGAAAAGAAATGGCCAGAATGTCTGCCTGGCCATTATCAATTCTGTATTCATTCTTTATAACACCTTAAAGGATGTTCATGATACTTTAATAGTGAAATTTTGATCTTATTGAGAACATGCTGAACCAGGGTTGTGTTGGATTACTAGCTGTTGAATCCACTGAATGTCAAATGTTTGTGTGTTCGATCACTAACTGTTGAACTACTGAATGTCAAATGTTTGTGTGTTCGATCACTAACTGTTGAACTACTGAATGTCAAATGTTTGTGTGTTGGATTACTAACTGTTGAATCCACTGAATGTCAAATGTTTGTGTGTTGGATTACTAACTGTTGAATCCACTGAATGTCAAATGTTTATGTGTTGGATTACTAGCTGTTGAATCCACTGAATGTCAAATGTTTGTGTGTTCGATCACTAACTGTTGAACTACTGAATGTCAAATGTTTGTGTGTTCGATCACTAACTGTTGAATCCACTGAATGTCAAATGTTTGTGTGTTCGATCACTAACTGTTGAACTTCTGAATGTCAAATGTTTAAAACAGACAGGACACCAATCCTGCTTCATGCTAAAGGTCACAGTTAAAAATTAAAAGTTTAAATTTGTTTCCATTGTGCATCGCTTAGTTGAAGGATAAAATATATTAGTAATAATATTGAAATATTATTGAACAAATTTGTTTTCTGGCATATATGTATATTAATATTATTTAACATCTTGCTTTATTCTTTACTCTAATGCCAAGGATGTTTATGATACATCTTTTGTGAAATAATTTAAACTGCAAAATACCTAATTGTGAAAAAATCTTTTCTAGTACATAAATCTATTTATCCCATAACCTTGCCACTTTTAAGACTTAGTAAAAATGGTATTGCACGGCCCGGTATTAGATATTTTGACGCGAGATAAATTGCGATATATAAACTTTTTCACTTCAAACGGTCTTTATTTTTTGGTATGTGATAAGTAGAATATTAAATTTATGCAAGTTCATTACTGAATTTATTGAACAGGCTTTCTTATTATAATTATATTATATTCAGTATTGAACTGACTCTCAATATTCTCTATTTCAGATACACTACAACAAAGTTCTTTACAGAAGTTAACCAGTCCTGTGACACATTCAAATTTATGCGGACAAAGAACAAGTGAAATATGTAAGATATTTCACACAAACACAAGTCTATTTGCTCGTTGTATGGCAAGTTTACAAAATATGCACAAAACTGGACCTAGAAAAAAGATAAGAAAGCCCAGATCTCCTGTCTTGGGAGGTGCTCCACAAAAACGTGGTGTTGTTTTAAAAGTGTTGATAAGAAAACCTAAGAAACCAAACTCTGCAAATCGTAAATGTGTTATTGTAAGATTAACCAATGGAGAAGAAGCAACTGCGTATGTACCAGGTGAAGGACATAATTTACAGGAACATAGTATTGTATTGTGTAGGGGAGGAAGACTGAAAGATGTCCCAGGTGTTAAACTAAAATGTGTGAGGGGTGTATATGATTTGGCTCATGTGAAAAAGAAAACTATGTAAACACTATGATAAAACAATACATTTTTATGTGACCTATGTTCCTTTCATTAAAATGCAATTATTAAAAACATTTATGTTGATATGATTTTTATATACAATACCCATTTCTCCAGTTTCACTTGGCTTTGATGTTAATTGAATAATACCCTATCATAGCTTCTCAAATAATTCCACTCTGCAGAACTCAAAAGCAAATACATGTATTTTACAAATCTTTGTCCAGAATCACAAGATATTCATAAAGCATTGCCTTTCATTCATTGACAATGCTTGTTTTAAGTATGGCATTTTGCTCCCAAGTATCCTTCCTTTAAAAAGAGATGTAAAGCAAAAAAATCTTAACACCTAGTGTTAGCATTGTTTATAAATAGACTGGTACCACGTTTCTTCAAATTATGTCCCCTTGGTGATGATCCATACCAGTCTGAAATATACACTTCCTGTAAGCACGTTAACCTGGGTATTTTGATGCAAATTTATTGGAGATCAGCTGAGTTATGCCCTCTGATGAAGACAGCTCGACTATTCGAAGAATAGTAGGGCTACCTTGCATGCATACATCATATCTCATCAACCATGAATGATATTTGCTTGTAACTTTACACACTTATTTGAGAGCATGACAGGTCACTGTCCAAGGCCCATGACTAAGTATGGATCTTTAACTTAAAACTCATGGTTAAAGTTTTGCATACATCATCAATCTTTGAAACTACCGAGGATTTTTCCTATGGACCTTGATATAAATCTTTGGTCACTATCCAAACCTAATAATTCTGACATGGATTTTGACTGAATTATAGCCCTTTTTAAACTTGGAACATTCCTTTGTTCAAGTTTTATTGCAACATCAATCTTCATTACTAAAGAAAATGCAGAGCCATTATCATATTGATAATACCAACTGATAGGATCTGGTGACCTTTTTGCTTATGTTTTTATATGCCCGAAGGAATTTCGCCGTATATTGTAATCCGTCTCTCTGTTGGGTTTTCTTGTCTGGTATTTTTTGAACCGGTGAAAGGAAATTCAAACTAGTTGGCAGAAATGATAACCATAAAGAGACGATGTGCAGAGCGCAGGTTTGACCTTTCTCAGGTCAAGGTCACATTTTAAAAATTTTGTGTTAGGTTGTTTTTTTTTTAAACTGATAGTATGCAATTGAATCTATTAGGCAGAAATATTTATTATATTACTGAAATGATGTGCAGAGTACACTACCTCAGGTCAAGGTCACACTGACTCTTTCAAAATCCTTATATATAGTGTATATATTACAAAGGGAGATTACAATGTATGAATTTATTTATGTTTCCTTTATATGTATTAACCTCCCTTTATTTTCCAAAATCTATTACATTATAACGTTGTTTTTTTTTTATCAAACTTTATTTTTTTAGCTTTTTTTCCTGTCAAGATTATAATAATTGAGGTGCTTTTATAGGTTTACATGATTTAATTATTTTGAAATGAGACAATTTTATTACAACTGAAGCTGATATTACTTGAGATATGTAAATTCACTAAATAACAAGTTGTAAATGAGGCATAAACAGTGCCTTTATGATAATGTGAGAGTGACATTGCATTTTTTGTGTACGTAAAAGTTTACAAACTTTGTCTGATTACGTAAAATAGGTTTTTTAGAAGCAAATATAACACTAGGGAAAAAATAGAATTTGAAATGTCTCAATGGCAATGTTGGTAAAGTCATGGGATGTGTTAAAAAAAAAATTGTCACAAGTTCGAGCCTCACAAGATGTCTAACTTTTTTGTGTCGCCTTGAAAAATGCGACATATAGGGGTTACTTTTGTCGGCGTCCCCTTAAGCTTGTCCCGAGCATGAGTCAGTCATTACAAGTCGGATTGACTTTAAACTTGGTATGCATCTTATAATGACCCAAAGTGCAGTGTACAAGAACCAGTACTTTGCACTGCTTAATTTTTGAGTTATTGCCCTTTGTTAATTTTCATACTTTATTTTTGTCAGTGCCATTTCTCCTAAAGTATAAAAGCTATGGACTTGAAACTTAATAGGATGATAGATCTCATTAAGAAGAAGTGCAGTGCACAAGAACTGGTACTCTGCATTTCTTATTTTTAGCTCACCAGAGCTGAAGGCTCAGGGTGAGCTATTAGTATCAAAGGGTATGCTCCGGCGTCAACAATTGTCTTCTTCTCTGAAACTACTGGACAGATTTACTTCAAATTTGGTCTGAAGCATCCTTGTGACAGTCACACTTGAATTTGCTCATGTCATTCCAATTGGCCCCTTTTAGGGGTCAGCAGAGCTAAAAATAGAAAAACCTTTAAACATCTTCTCCTGCAGAACTGATGTATGGATGATCACCAAACTTTGTCTGTAGCATTCTTGGGTAGTCTCTTATCAAGTTTGCTCATATTAATTTGATTGGCCCCTTTTAGGGGTCTCTAGGGCTAAAAATAGAAAAACCTTTAAAGATCTTCTCCTAGAGAACTAATTAATGGACGATCTCCAAACTTTGTCGGTAGCATTCTCCGGTAGTGTTTTATTAAGTTTGTTAATATTATTTTGATTGGCCCCTTTTAGGGGTCTCTAGGGCTAAAAATAGAAAAACCTTTAAACATCTTCTCCTAGAGAACTAATTGATGGATGATCTCCAAACTTTGTCGGTAGCATTCTCGGGTAGTGTTTTATAGAGTTTGCTCATATTAATTTGATTGGCCCCTTTTAGGGGCCGAAAAAGCTAAAAATAGAAATACCTTTAAATGTCTATTTCTAGAGAACTAATCAATGGATGATCACCAAACTTTGTCTGTAGCATTCTTGGGTAGTCTTTTATCAAGTTTGCTCATATGAATTTGATTGGCCCCTTTTAGGGGCCGCTTTAACTAAAAATAGAAATACCGTTAAATGTCTATTTCTACAGAACTAATAAATGGATTGATGATCCAAACTTTGTCTGTAGCATTATTGGGTAGTCTTTTATTAAGTTTGCTCATATTAATTTGATTATCCCCTTTTAGGGGCCGCTAAAATTAAAAATAGAAATATTTTAAACATCTTTTCCTACAGAACTAATTAATAGATGATCACCAAACTTTGTCTGTAGCATTTTTGGGTAATCTTTTATCAAGTTTGCTCATATTAATTTGATTGGCCCCTTTTAGGGGCCGCTAAAGCTAAAAATTGAAAAAACCTTTAAACATCTTCTACTTCAGAACCAATTGATGGATGATCACCAAACTTTGTCTGTAGCATTCTTGGGTACTCTTATCAAGTTTGCTCATATTAATTTGATTAGCCCCTTTTAGGGGCCACTAAAGCTAAAAATAGAAAAAAATAGAAAAAAAAACTTCGAACATCATTTCCCTACTGAAATAATTGATAGATGATCACCAAACTTTGTAGCATTCTTAAGTAGTCTTTTTATCAAGTTTGCTCATATTAATTTGATTAGCCCAGTTTAAGCTAAGCTTAAATATCCCAGGTCATGACATTTCTTCAAATTATTGTTTAAACATTTCTATACTCAAATTTAATATTAGAATATATTGACATTCCAACACTGGAAAGCAGTTGTTTCTGGTGAGCGACTCCAGGCCATCATGGCCCTCTTGTTTGAGTTATTGTCCCTTGTTAATTTTCATACTTTATTTTTGTCCTGGCCATTTCTCCTAAAGTATAAAAGCTATGGATATGAAACTTCATAGGATGATAGATCTCATTAAAAAGAAGTGCAGTGCCCAAGAACTGGTACTCTGCATTTGTTATTTTTTGAGTTATTGCCCTTTGTTAATTTTCATACTTTATTTTTGTCCAGGCCATTTCTCATAAATTATAAAAGCTTTAGACTTGAAACTTAATAGGATGATAGATCTTATTGATAAGAAGTGCAATGCACAGAAACTGCTGCTCTGCATTTCTTATTTTTTTTAGGTCATTGCCCTTTGGTGATTTTCATATTTAATTTTTGTCCTGGCCATTTCTCCTAAACTATATTGTTCACAAGGCGACACATCCGACTCGCGGAGTTCTGGTTCTCTCTTTCTTTCACTATTTTTTTTTAAATTTTACATGAGATGCAAATGAATTGAAATATAAAGGTAGTTTTGTTTTAATATCTTTAATTCAAATACACTGGTAATAATAATTTTTTGAATATCCTGAGTATTATGTTGTAGTCATAATACTTGAATAGTGCACAAGTATTTCACCAACTGAAGTAATGTTGAAACATTTTATATACATGTATGCATTTACATTAAGTATAATGTTGCACCAACTTGCTAGATATGGCTTCATTTAAAACAAAAGAAAACTAGAAATGTGTCCATAGGACACGGGTGCCCCCACCGCGCCACTGTTCTGTCAATCTTATGACTCTAGGTAAAATATTTTTTGAAAACTAAAAATCTTTTACTAAGTAAAGGGCAAGAACTTTACAAATACTGAATAAATCCACAAGCAAACCCCAAGGTGCATAAGTACACATGCTGACCAACATTCTTGTAAACTTTCAAGCCTACAATACTTTTTATATGCCCGAAAGAATTTCGGGCATATTATGTTATACCCCCTGGCGTCCGTCCGTCCATCCGTTAGCAATTTGGTTTCCGGAGCATAACTTCAGTTCCATTTGGCCCACAGTATTCAAACTTCATAGGATGATTGTCCATATCGGGTAGAAGACCCCTATTGATTTTGGGGTCACAAGGTCAAAGTCACTATGACCTTAAAACTGAAAACAGTTTCAGGAGCATAACTTAAGTTCCATTTCGCCCACAGTGTTCAAACTTCATAGGATGAATGTCCATATTGGGTAGAAGACCCCTATTGATTTTGGGGTCACAAGGTCAAAGGTCAAGGTCACTATGACATTAAAACTGAAAACAGTTTCCGGCGCATAACTTAAGTTCCATCTGGCCTACAGTGTTCAAACTTCATAGGATGAATGTCCATATTGGGTAGAAGACCCCTATTGATTTTTGGGTCACAAGGTCAAAGTCACTATGACCTTAAAACTGAAAACAGTTTCCGGAGGATAACTTAAGTTCCATTTGGCCCACAGTGTTCAAACTTCATAGGATGATTGTCCATATTGGGTTGAAGAGTCCCCCTATTGATTTTGGGGTCACACGGTCAAAGTCACTATTACTTAGAAATTGAAAACAGTTTCTTTAGCATAACTTAAGTTCAATTTGACCCACAATATTCAAACTTCATAGGATGATTGTCCATATTAGGTAGAAGACTCCTATTGATTTTGGGGTCACAAGGTCAAAGGTCACTATGACCTTAAAACTGAAAACAGTTGTCGGAACATGACTTTAGTTTCATTTGGCCCACTGTGTTTAAACTTCATAGTATGATTGTCCATATTGGGTAGAAGACCCCTATTGATTTTGGGGTCACAAGGTCAAAGGTCAAGGTCACTATTACCTTAGAACTGAAAACAGTTTCCAGGGCATAACTTAAGTTCCATTTGGACCACAATATTGAAACTTCAAAGGAGGATTGTTTTGTGAAGAAGGTAATACTTTATTTAATTCCCATGTCTTTCAAATGCTTTATCTTTACTAAAAAAAAAAAGAATCACTTTCGGGCATATAATGCTCCTCCTAGCGGTGCTCTTGTTGAGCTATGCATGAACAAATTGAAAATTGCAAATTTATACTACTGTAAGTCAAGGGCAACAACTTTTACAAAACTGAAAAAAAATCCACATGCAAAGTCCCAGGTTCATAGCTTCACAGTGATGTGTATCATTATTCCTGTAATTTAGTGATGTTTATTTAGTGATAACTAAATTCTAGTTCCTAGTTAATTTAGTGATTATTATTCCTGTAATAACTCAAGCACTCAAGGAACAAATAACAATATAATGAAACAGTTTTTACTAAGTCAAGGGAAATAACTCTACAAATACTGGATAAATCCACAAGCAAAACCCCGGGTGCAAAACTAAATATGCTGAGCAACCTTCCCATAAGGTTTAATGACTCTATGTCAATCCTTTTTGAGTTACATGCGACACAAGTTGAAAATTGCAAAAAATTTCTAAGTCAAGGGCAATAACTCTAAAAATACTGGATAAATCCAATTGAAAATACCCAGGTGCACAACTACACATGCTGATCAATATTCCTGTAAAGTTTCATGACTCTATGTCAAATCCTTTTTGAGTTACATGCGACACAAGTTGAAAATTGCAAAATTTTACTAAATCAAGGGCAATAACTCAAAAAATACTAAAAATATCCACACGAAAATACCCAGGTGCACAACAACACATGCTGATCAACATTCCTGTAAAGTTTCATGACTCTCGGTCAAATACTTTTTGAGTTACATGCGACACAAGTTGAAAATTGCAAAATTTTACTAAGTCAAGGGCAATAACTCCAAAAATACTTAAAAATATCCAGACGAAAATACCCAGGTGCACAACTTCACATGCTGATCAACATTCCTGTAAAGTTTCATGACTCTCGGTCAAATACTTTTTGAGTTATATGCGACACAAGTTGAAAATTGCAAAATTTTACTAAATCAAGGGCAATAACTCTAAAAATACTAAAAATATCCAGACCAAATTACCCAGGTGCACAACTACACATGCTGATCAACATTCCTGTAAAGTTTCATGACTCTCGGTCAAATACTTTTTGAGTTATGTGTGACACAAAAGTGAACGGACGGACAGACGGACAAGGGTAAATCTAAATGCCCGCCACTAAAGTGGGGGCACAAAAAATGAAATGAAAAGTAAATAGAAAATAACACAACACTTCAAAATCTTTACAAGAAAATACTACAACAAATTCTTATTTGATTATCGATAATTTTACAAAAAAAAGGTATATATCTAAACTCATGAAAACATTTGAAATATGGAAATATATTGATAGTCTGAAGATAGTTTTGAAGATATGCGAACATAGATCGATTAAGAAAAACTTTTAAGCCCGTGAATACTTCTGCACATATAGTTTATTGCACTTGTATCATGTGCTACTGCTATAGTAATATCACAAAACTGTGGAATTTAGGGGTTCCTGTGGCCTAATTGTTAAAAGCTTCAAGCTTTACTACTTATTTTGCAAACATACACAACTGCATAATGTCATTCAGCAACATTTTAAGGTAATAGTCAGGATAAAAGTAAAAGTGTTTGAATTTAATTCAGTACAAGACACGTATAGTTATTGAAGCTAGGAAAACATGCATTGGTGTCAGCTTGGTTCCCGATCGGCTTCACTTGTAACCATTTACGTTGTACTGCCGATTTTTTTTTCAATTATAAATCACGGCCTAGTCTATCTATCTCCTGCACGAGGAAATCCATATCTTCTGTTGCTGTGTCAAAATTAGTGAGAACCATTCTGAAAAAGTTGACAAGATCTCCGTCTGGGTTATATCCAATCATCATGGAGCCACACTGCATCATACTGGCTTTAATTGCTGGGGCAACCTGTTGTAAAATACATCATAAATAATTGATATAGTATCATCTTACTAGCCATTAATTTCTATCCTACTTTGTAATATGATACACTGGTATATCATTTTTATAAAGTTTAATGATATATCATTCATAAAGTATAGCTGAACTGATATCTAATGCCAAAATGTTTGAATTTCAACTCTTATGGTGAGCTAAGATGTTCGGATTATGGTGATTTGTATGATATATAATCTCTGTAAAAATACCTGTGTAACAAATTGGGGAACAGCATAATAGATGAATTCAGGTTCAACACAGATTATTAAATGATGAAGAAACAATTATATACTGTAATACTAATACAACTTCTAGAAAGTTATATTTCTTTTTATGATGTGTGTGTGTGATCTTAATGAAAGTGTTTCAATTGTGTTCCTCATTCCACTATTATGACCACCTTTATTTTTATACCACCACACAACAACGTAAAGGGGGGGGGGGGTATACTGGAATCAGCTTGTCCGTCAGATTTTCCATGACCGCCCAATAGCCTAAATAATCCTTTGGCAAACAGTCTTCACATTTGGTATTGAGATTGGTCATGAATAGTAAAAGACCCCTATTGATTGAGGTCATTATGTCAAAGGTCAAGGTCACAGGGGCCTTGACTAAAAAAAGCTTTTCTGCCAAATAACCCAAGAATCCTTTGATCCACAGTCTTCATATTTGGCATGAAGATTTCAAGTGACCATTTGGGGACCCCTATTGATTTTGAGACACTGGGTCAAAGGTCAGGGTCACAGGGGCCTAAAGTTCAAAAAGCTTGTCCGCCCAATTGTTTCAGAATGCTTTGGTCAACAGTCTTCATATTTGGCATGGAGGTTGGTTATGAGAAGTTGATGACCCCTTTTTAGGTCAAAGGTCAAGGTCAGAAGGAGTTTGACTAAAAAGAGCTTGTTAGCCCAATAACTTAAGAATCCTTTGACCCACAGTTCAGTTTTGGCATTTTAGTTAGTTATGACCATAAGATGACCTCTTGATTTTAAGATCACTGGGTCAAGGTCACAGGGCCCTTGACTCAGCCCAATAACTTAAAATTCATTTCAACCACAGTCTTCATATTTGGCGTGGAGGTTGGTCATGACCATAAGGCGACCCCTATTGATTTTGAAGTCACTTGGTCAAATGTCAAAGGGGTCTTTAGTTCAAAAAGCTTATCTGCTCAATTGCTTTAGAATTCTTTATTTAACAATCTTCATATTTGGTATTGAGGTTGGTTATGGCTAGTAGATGACCCCTATTGATTTTGAGGTCACTAGGTCAAGGGTCAGAAGGACCTTGACTAAAATGCCCAAATTCTTTGACCCACAGTCTTCATATTTGGCCTGGAGATAAGTCATTAGATGACCCCTATTGCTTTTCAGATCATTGGGTCGAATGCCAAGGTCACAGCGGCCTTGACTTAAAAAAGCTTGCCTGCCCAATAACTTCATATTTTGCATGGATGTTAGTCATGATTATAAGATGACCCCTATTGGTTTTGAGGTCACTGGGTCAAAGGTTACTTTGATCTTTGCCACTAAAACATATAGAATACATAACTTAACAATGCACTGGCTTTCTACCCTCATATTTGGCAGGGAGGTTGTCCTTGAGCTCTAAATGACCAATGTTGGTTCTGACAATTTAGTATACGAGGGTTTCATGCCATGACAGTGGCAGATCTAGTTTTTACACCTATTTTATTTCCCTTGTGTGTTAATATAATGACAAACCTTAGCAAGTTTATCCCACCATTCTTTAGTCTCCTGTTGACCTCTCAAGCTAGGGGGTATATACCAGAAACAAACATTGGTGCACTCTGGCTCCTGTATAAGTTTGAACCCTGGTGTCTTCTTTAACTTGTCAGATAAATATCTGTGGAAATAAAACACACACAAAAAAATGATCATAACAGTTAAAAACATTTCATTACAAAAAAATATTAAGGATAAATGTTTAATGTGACAGATAAAGGATAATGCTTTGTATTATGCTTATCGATAGAGGATAAGTTTTTTTTATATAAGGTCGAGACTGTCATATGTGACTTTCCAAGGGATCTTCAGAAAAAGGTCACATATGACAGGGAGTCTCTTAATACAGTCTCATAGAAAATTAAAATACCATCTATCTGTCTATATACCATTGTGACTTAACATATATACTTTATAACTGTGTGAAGGAATAATATCTAACCAATTGCAAATACACATAGATACTTTAACTAATTGATGTAAATAAAATAAGAATCCCTGTAAAGCAAATATAATCGCATGTATATCATATAAAATCTTATTTTATTTTTTGTATTAGATTTATATTGAATCATTATGGTACAAAATAAACTTGAATTTGATGCATTTAAATCCTTTAAATAAATATCATACTTTTAAAAACATATCCATATCCAAAGGTTTTTCTAGTCTGGTATCAATATTTTTCTGTATTATTCATGCAGCCATAGAAAGGTAAATAATTAAAAAAAAATGCTGCCTAAAAAAATCTTCCGTTGGCACTCCATAATTTTTTAAACACAAGTCTTAATCCAGTTTACTCAGTTCATTATGTTCATTACACCTGTGACCTCAATTTGTTAACACACATCGATTGCATCATGCTTACCATATTTGGCAGTACTACTCCAGACGCTACGTCACTTGATACCTGTATACATGTAATCCGTGTAATTGAGACAGAGGTGTGTAGAGTTTGTTTGAAGAGTACTGACTACTGGATTATAATTGGACTTAATTATTTTGTCTCTCTGGGTGTTAAAACAGGTATTATTTATCTGATTAACGGACAATTAAAAGGTGTGAAAGTCGTTTAAATCAGACAAAGCAATACATTGGGACCAGACAATTAGGGTCGCTTGTCACATATGACAGGGAGTCGTATAATTCATACCATTTATATGGGAAAATACGTTGCGAGGACTGAAACAAGGTTGGATAAGACAGGGAGTCGTTGAAATCAGGGGGTCGCTAAGGCAGTTTTGACTGTATCTCTAGATATGAGTGTTTTATGTCTTAAGATATAGGGAGAGTGTTTATATGTCTTCAGATATAAATGAGTGTTTTATGTCTTTAGATATAAATGAGTGTTTTATGTCTTTAGATATAGGATGATTGTTAAACCTAGACAGCATAAACAGGTGATCTATTCGACTCTCCATCCCACTATCTCCTTCCTTCTTCCATAACATCCACAGTTTAAACACATCAACCTTTCTACCACATTGTACAGACTTGTCACCAGTGTCAAAAGAAACATCGTAGTTCTTGTCTGGTTGAAACAAATAACTGGCATTAGCGCTGTGACAATCCTTTATTATACCCTGGTAGAGCAAAATATAATACATAGTATGTATGAATATTCAAGATTTAAACTATAGCAGCTATTTTATATATTTTATATTGTATACATGTATATCATTAGAAAACCGCATTTTTCTCTTCTATCACAATGTGCTGCTTTAAAATAATTGATTAATTGAAACATATTTGTACTAAGTTAACCTAAGTTTAGAAGTATACACATATTAATTATTTAATTGTTTTACGGCACAATTTACCAGAAAAGTTACCTTGTGTTTTGTTAGAAATATGGAGCATTGCTGTGGGACACCCATCATCTTATGAGCGTTCCATATCATTGAATCTGCTCTGTCAATAAATAAACATATCTCTCGTAAACTTAAATCATTACATCTTATATTCAGTTTCTAAAAAAAACTTTCATATTACGTATTTTCATTTCTTTATGATGAATGCTTTATTTTGTCAAATAAAAATCAAGCATTGTAAACAGCAGTTTTTGAGTTCAGTTTAGCAACTTATATTTTAGTGCAACCTTAATTGAAAACTAAAAGACACTGATATTTATTTCAGACAAAAAATTACTACTAGCTTTCCTATTCCATTCAAAAGATATTTGTCACACGTATAAAAAACGCTACCAAATATGACAAAGGGTACAAGAAATGATTCTTATACTTCTATGACTTGACCTTAATTAAATATATCTCAAACTTCACTTATATACCTACATATTCTACCTACTTTACATACCGAACATCTAAGGTTAATTATCAAGTCAATCAATAAACGCTCTATTAAAACATTTTTTCTAGAGAAAGATGTGAAGAGATCAATTAATTCTTACTTTTCAATTCCCTTCAAAAGATATTTATATTTGGTGGACATAGCTGCACTTCCACCCCAGGCACCGTCCACGTGCAACCAGAGCCCGTGCTTCTTACAAACATCAGATATTTCATCTAGAGGATCATAAGCTCCTAGAACAGTTGTTCCTGCTGTAGCATTTACAAAGAATGGCTCATAACCCTGGAAAATAAAACAACAGACCCTGAATAACATGAATATAGGTAACACTGACAAACCTTGCTCTATGGTAATTGACATTTACCTAGAAAGTCTGGTCTTTTCATGTGTAAAGTTAAAGGACTCCACTGAGGTTTTTTGACATGATGGGACTGACAATAATATTTTCTGATAGTTGTAACATTTGATGTAGGTTTAGACCACTAATCTTTTTGCAAAATTTCAGATCATTTGCGCACTTCGTTTTTCCAGAATAATGCCTTTCATTAGACTTCTGTACATTTTAGAAATAGCTGCACTTCCGCCCCACGCGCCGTCTACGTGCAACCAGAGCCCGTGTTACTTACATACACCAGATATCTCGTCTAGAGGATCATAAGCTCCTAGAACAGTTGTTCCTGCTGTAGCATTTACAAAGAATGGCTCGTAACCCTGGAAAATATGCAATGTGTCTTGTTTCTTATTTTACACAAGATTTTTTGTAACAATTTGTACCTTTTATATTTTTAACATGTATGCATAATAACTCTGACAGTACATACTGTTAATTAAAAGATGAAAACAAGATTGCATTTGTTAACAAAAACGCTATGCCATCACATTAATACAACACTAAATAGTGAAACATAAGTACATTTTTTGTTTCTATACAACTGAATTGGTGCCATAATGCAGTAGTGTCAAGTAAATTTGGGGGTCAAGGTCATGTTTCACCATGTCGAATGATGTTAATAATGGAACACAACAGCACAGAAGTAATAACTGACAAAGAATTGCTGTCACAGTTCATATAAAAGTAGCTCTCTATAATGTTTTCATGTATACATGAGTTACCTTTTCGTTGGCCTCATTTATATGCCTGTCTAGCTCATCTGGAATCATTTTGCCTATTTTGTCTGACTTAACAAAGATGATATTGTTTATACCGATCCCCATCAATGCTGCACTCTTCATTACTGAATAGTGGCACTACAAGAGTAACATACACAACATCTAAAATTACTAGTATAAAAACAACAAAAAATCAGCATAATATGATGGTATATTAAAATATTTTTCATTTAATTATAATCTACTAGTAAACTCCAGTAGACTTATATCTATCCCATGAAAAGATAATTAAGGTTGTTTAATATAATACTGTGTCAATATAGAGGAAAGATACCACATATACACTCCAATTCTTGAGTTTCTTGCAAAGTCAAATGTCACTAATCCAACTAAATAAAAATAAATTTTGCTGTAAACTAAAAAAGCCAAACTTTCTTGTTTAACACTTTATAATCGTTTTATATGGTTAACTGAATTTAAATGTTACTTAGAAAACAGAGAAAAAAAGACAACCTTTTCAGACGTGAAGATACAAAGAGGTTTCTTTACAGCATATAAACCGTCAGTTTTGATTTCTGGAAATTTAGCATAACGTGCAACATTCATCCCATACATATTTCCCATCGACCCTCCTTTAAATATAATTCATGAACAAGTTAAATTTGCACACTAGAAGCATTGTAACTTTAGAAATTCATATAGGACTGTTTCATCATAGTTTTCTTGCCAGGTAACAGACACAAAATTAAAAAAATATTTTGTTTACTATCATATTTAAAATACTGCATTGATTGATTGCACTAAAATGTATTTGTTACTTCAATTCTATGATGTATATGATAATGTACTGTTTACAAATAATAGAAATTAAAGTTATGTTCTGTTTTTATATTCCGTATCAATCTCTGTACATTTCTCCTTTTTTTTAAACTAACCAGTTTTCACCACCTTGTCTAAGGGGGAAACTAACATAAGTTGTGTTTTTTCATGAAAAATATATCCATGTAAATTGGTTAAATTACTTTATTCATTTTTCAGTGAAATACCGGTATATTTTCAGTGAGAAACCGGTATATTTTCTGTGAGATACCGGTATATTTCCTATCAAATACCGGTATATTTTTAATTACTAAAATGAAACAAGTTAGGTTCATGTTTTTCTACCTGGTACAAAAATAGCATCACCACCGTCAAATCCAACGTAATGTAACATTTTACTGTATATTTCATCCTCCATCAAAGTAAAGACCGGAGCTACCTCGTATGTGTACATGCAAGGATTCAAGGCGTCTGTCAGCCAGGTACCCGCTAGTGAATACTGATTCATACTACCATATAACTGATTAAAGAACCGCGGATTTGCTGAAATAATGCACATATACTGAAATGAACTACACGAAGAAGTTTTCTTTGAAATATTACAGAAAAATGATTGTGCAACTACGTTGCAAATATTCAAAATACAATAAAAAGAGAGAAAAAGACACGCACAGCACATGCAAAAAACCTTGAATTTCCCATTAAAACAGTGTAGTATATTTTGACCCTACCTATAAAATTATCGGCCGCGGTAAGTTCAACATTATACAAACTAGTTTTGGACAAAAATTACAGTTAATGTGATACATACATGTTTTGACACTGTACTGTATAACATCTTTACACATGTCCAACAGCCTGTCTTCACTGGCAGGTTCATCTGTAATCTTCAGTTCCTTTAGCATTGCCTTCAGTGTCTCTGGTTGATGAAAGTCACAAACACACGTCTGAAATCAAATACCAGACAACAAATTGGACTTGTTATAGTGAACCTCCCCACTGACAAATACAATAATGCCAGCGTTTTTTAAACTTTGAAACCTTTAAACATTGACTTTAAGATTTATGTAATTAATGCCTTTATTGACTAGTAGAACTTTGCTTTCTGGTGATAAATATTACTGAAAGGGCAGCAGATAAATATGATTCAAACGTTATCTCAACCTTCTATCAAGAATATAAGGTCACAGTTATCTCATAGAAGTGTCTGAGTCAAAGTTTATCTTCTTCCTGTAAAATAATTTGTGGCATTCTTTGTCTATTAAAAAAAGACATTTTATTTTTAATTCAAAATTCAGTCGTAAAGAGGAAATGTCACTTTATTGAAGACGAATATCGGAAAGAATTGACTTCGGAGATAAACTTTGTCCCCCCCCCCCCACCACACACACACATACACAGACATACGCATGGAAAACAATAAAACTTGTTTTAAAACATATTTATTCTAAATAGTATAATCAATACTATATTGGAAATGGATGAGAACATGAGATGAATCTAAGAAATTCTTATCCTTTATCAAACTATACGGTTTGTCTTGTATAAATTAATAATTATTACAATGTATATTAAAAAGTTATAGAGCAGATTTACAGTTTAACACATAGATATCTAAGACAAGCTAAAAATGTGTCCATAGGACACTGGTGCCCTATCAATCTTATGACTCTAGGTCAAATATTTTTTGGCGCCCATGAACTTAAAAGCATTTACAATGTATAGTTATTTTTTGTAATATCAAAAATATTCCGATCTCCTATTAGCAATAATAAAATGTTTATATGTGAGCTTCTAGCATATGCACTATTAAAAAATGCACAAATATGATTTAGCTAAGAAAAATATAATTATTCACATTACAAGAATAATAACAAGCACCAAGGCGATTAAACTAATTCAGGCTATAAAGCCTTGTCCACTTTATATAAATTAAATAAAAAAGAAATTAATCAAGATTGTGTAAACTGTTAAGATACTTACGTTTTTCTATCCATTGCACCAATTAGTCCATCTTTCATTACAAGATCCACCACTTTTCTAAGAAACTGTAGATCATTTTTTCCAGGAGTCGTTTTGTCATCTGTATCCGTGTTCCTATCTTCTGATGCCTCATCATGCATTCCATTTCCTATGTCAACATCAAAATAACCATTCTTTACTGTCTTTAACTTTACATAGTTTGAGCCATTACATTTGTAACAAGAAACACTACTCGTTGATGTCATCTTAAGGTGTACTGCTCCCTTTGAAATGCCAATATTTTATAAATACCACCCAACTGTAATCAGGACATTCAAAATTGAAAACCTGATTAAAAGAGGACAATTAATATATAAATTACATGTATTCAAATAACAGTATTGATACTTACTTGTTTACATGCAATACTGTAAACGCAAAGGGCAATTGCAACTTCTCGGACATTTTCGTCTGACATAAATAGCCGATCATTCCGATTGGTATGCAATAGGAACATCCTCGGCTTTTATCTATAATCCGAAGACTGACGGAAAGGGCCGAAAAGTTGCGATTGATTGGTATGAGGAAAACTGAAATGTTGCGATATGTATAATGAATAGCGAACTAGAGGATTTCACCATAGGCACTTCAGGGGCGGCGAAATCAATTGTCCGTATTGCCCAGGTTGTACGGACAAGTTGAAATTTTCTAAAATTTACTATACTGGTCAGAGACCATCAACCGGACACTGTTGAAACATTTTTCCATACAGATTTTAAAATCTTTTTCCTAGAGACCACAAAATTTTACACAGTTCAGCTAGGTTCTTCTCCTAACTAACAAACTAGTTTGTTTATTTCTGATTGTGTTGACACTTATATCAGAGGCTCGACAAGGAGGGTATCAAAATAAACTAAATTGTCTACACTACAGTACCATGTGTCCGGACAGATATGTACATGATTTGATTTAAATCAGATAAAAGCTTGGGTGTTTTGATTTTAGATTTGTAACATGATATACGGTGTTTGGGTTAGGGTTAGGCATTGCTTTCTTAACCCCCGAATTTCAACGTCAACATTCTTGAAATAGACATTAAAATATTACCATTTCTGGAGGTTGAAATTAATTTATTTACTTAATTTTTAAAGAAACATGCACTTATTGTTGATAAAAAAAGTAATTGACAACCACTGAAAAAAGAAAATACTAAACTAAGCATTTTCGGGGCCGTCCGGGTTTGGTGGTTGTCCGGTTTTGGTGGTCCCCAACCAGTATAAGTATCATACGGACAAGTGAGGAAATGCTTCAAGTAAAAACGGACAAGTTAGTCAAAATCAGATTTTGCCGGCTTTGCCGGCCCTGCACTTGGTTTTGGGATAAAATAACCCTTTGAGAGGTTTGTAGAACTTAAATATAATTGAATGGGGGTCTTATCCAGGATATAGCCAATGTTACAATTTTTTTAACGTAGATGTCTCTTTTCTAAAACCGTCATTTTTCCGATATTACTAAAAAAACACAAGGTACAGTAGTTGCTCAGTCGCCATTTTTATCCGCAAAAAATCCGGTAGCCGTACCGCTCCGGATATGGTTCCCCCGTTTCTCGTTCGCTTTACCACACTTACTTGAAACCAGTCATGTTTACTTACTTGGGCGCCAAATTTAAATAGTAAAACAGACTACATGAATGGTATTCATTTAACTTTGCCCGATTCTTTCAAGAATATTCTCCGTATTTGATAGGGAAGACAGTAATGTTTACTTACCTAAAATAAAATAAAATGAATGAATTGCAGAGAAGTTGTCTAGACTATATCTTAAAAGGTCATAATATGATTTTAACTGGCCAAGCTGGAACTGGCAAGACATTTACTGTCAAGGAATGCGTTAAAACTCTTAGATCTAAAGGTAAAAGTGTATCATTAACTTGCTATACCGGTATAGCTTGTTTACAATACCAAGGTTTGGGTGCAACAACATTGCACAAATGCAGGACTTGAGGATGGCAGATTATGTTATAAAGAGTTGGTTCATTTGATTGAAACAGATGAAAGGTTTACTGAGACAAAGTTAAAAATTCTGAACACTGACACATTATTTATAGACGAAGTGTCAATGGTAAGTTGTAAAACACTAGAATATGTTTAACATATTTGCAGATATTTAAAATGTAGCCACAAGTACTTTGGGGGCATGCAGGTTATCTTAAGTGGAGATTTAAATTACCAGTTGCCCCCTATAAAGGATGAGCTATATGAAGATAGAGGGCAGTACTGTTTTGAGGCTCATTTCCTCAATGATATGTTTCCTCACCGCATTAATTTGTGTTATGTACACAGACAGGCTGAAGCCAAACTTAGATCATGTGTTAATGAACTGGAAAAGGAAATCCAAGTGAAGAAACCAATTCACTCATGCAATTTTTATCTAGACCACTAAGTCCTGAATTTGAAAACAATGTTGTAAAACTTTTTGCTCGCAACATAGATGTTGATATGTATAACTACAATAGGTTAAAGGAAAATGTTAATCCTTTACAAATATTTATAGCTGATGATATCGGAGACATTCATTACTTGAATAAATTTATTGTTCCAAAAAGGTTAGGAATAAAAGTAGGTGCCCCAGTAATGCTTCTTAAAAATTTGAATGAAAGACATGTAAATGGTCTGGTGGGAAATGTTGTTACAATGGATGATAATTATCTAAGGGTTAGATTCAACTTAGAAAATAAATCTTAGGAAATAAATGTGTCTAAATTTTCATTCACCAAATATGACCCAGTGACAAATAGATGTTTAGCAAAAAGAGTACAGTTCCCCCTGAAATTGGCTTTTGGGATGACAATTCATAAGTCTCAGGGTATGGGAATACCTGCATTAGAGGTTGACTGTACAAGTGCAACCAACCTTGGCCGCATTGGAGTGGCTATTGGAAGAGCATTGTCCTTAGATGGACTTAGAGTCTTAAACTATAGGCCATCTTTATGTAGGAAACACCCAGATTTAGTGGATTCATTTTATGAAAATCTTAGAACAAATGTAGCATATCTAGATGATTTATCATGCTGCTGTAACATAAAATGTATGTCCTCAGTGGTATTACCTGATGAAACTGTAATTTATGACTCTGATGATGACTTTTTTTAAAGACATATTAAACAATATTGACTCTTAAATGATAGTAGTGATAAAATTAATTCTAATCTCACATATGCTTTAAATATAAGTTCCTCAGATAGACGCATTTCAGATCATACTTATTCTGTTGTCCATGATAATAACAGACTGGTATCTGAGGTAACAGATTTATTCAGGAGTACTATTTTAACATTCACTGAAACGCCACAGGAGTCACTAGCAAACATTGCCATTGATAGCATTTTGAGTAAGCGAAGATCAGTCTTAAATTGGTATAGAAACCAAACTGATAAAATAAGAGATATATACTTAGAACATATCTGCTGACCCTGGTAGTTTAAGACTACATTCCACAAAGAATTCAATAGGTACATTGTTATGGTGTATGGATGATCACAAGATTCAAACTATTCTACTATTTATTATAACCATTTAATACATGTTGTTAAGACCAGAGCTCAGGTGAGAATGACCAGGTATCAGAGAGGCATGGTCATATATATATAACATAGCACTAATGAATATAGAGTAAAGGGAAGTAATCCTATTAAATGTACAACTAAACATGTAAGGAGTTATCTGATCTTGATATCATAACATCTCCCTTTGTTTGAAATCTGAGAAACTCATAAACATTTGTCCGCTATAAATGTCAATTTATTCTGAGAAAGCATTAAGCAATAAAAATAATGTCTATGTCAAGTCTGACATCAATTAATGAATTTTAGATAAACACATCTAATTATTATGATAAATCTGTCCTAGATAATGCTTTCATATTGTCAATATAATCGTTTATAGCACAATAAACACTACTGCAATTTATGGCTATTTGTTCAATGTTTATATATACATTTATTTTACAC